TGTTACTCATGTGTCATTTTGCCACCTTTATCAAACATTACGACAGACAGCCGCTGAGCTGTTTTAGAAATGTTGAAACAGTTCACCAAGCACAAGGAATCAGCTACGACTGCCTTTATCAGTTTTTAATATTTACCTAATGTCTGTGTAGCTTTTTTGCTATCAAGCCTTTTCCCCTTTTAATGTATAAAATATTCCTAATGTCTTGTTTTGTCTGAACAACAATCCAAAACCAAGATATTCGATTTGAAATGAAGAGAAAAGCAGGAGGTGCTCAAATCTGAGGAGCTGGAGCCAGTGAATGTTTGACATTTTTACTTGTAAATGATCAGTTATTAAAATATATGGTTAAATCTTCTGTCGACTGGAAATAAATTAATCGATGTCAGCATCACAACCACTGAAAGCACCTGCAGTTTCATCTATTAAAAACTAAAGGTGGCTGCTGCAGAGCTATGGAATACAGCTCAAAGAAAATAGCTTTTAAGGCTGTCTTGATGAGTTACTATGACAACCATGCTTTCCTGAAAACTACAGAAATGAGCTGATCTGTTACACTGAGTCCTGTTGACATATTATATTACATCTGTATGAACAGCACTTCAGTTTAAGCCGAGCACCAGCTGAGGTGTTCTCCTCACAGAAGCAACTCATGACAAACCAAACACAGACAGATAAAATATTTACATAACAGGTTTGTGTAGTCAGTGTCTTTGGTTTGCTACAAGCCACAAGCCTGCAACTGTATTTACAAAAGTTTCCAGATGTCACGTCACTTACAATTTGTCCTCCAGGCAGATTCGGGGCCCCACCACGCTGGCCGCTCCGCTCGCCATCTTGAAGGCGAAGTGTCCGGCGGGACATGCCTTGGACAACCCGCACTTGTACCTGACCGGCTTCATGGCTGTAATTAGAAAACTCCACTTACACAACAAGTAGCAGGGTGCACAATATCAGGTAGCAAGTGGTGTGATCACATAAGCCTGCACACAAACAGGTGCTCACACAGGACAAAAAGCATCGGTTCAACTTGAACTCTAAATGCCAGGTGCTGAGCTGAACACAGAGCTTTAACTGTGGAGTGTTTCTATAATGTCTGTGTGACAAAGGCTCATTGTTACCATCCTTGTGTTGACTGATATAGAAAGAGAGAGGAACAGTATCAGCCATTGAGAAAAAAATATTTAAATATACACCAATAAAAATGTAAGAATAATTAAAGCATACTTACAGCCTTCACTCGCTGGCACAGATCTTGCTGCAAAGCAAAAAATAAATATATGGTTAAAGAGATTTTCTATGGACGCCTCACTGAGATGCAGCTTTGTGGGAATGTTCCCTAAACACATACACTGCAACTCTGCTGAGGCAGACAATGAGCATATTTGGTTTCTGTAAAGTGAGCACAACCTACAGACACAAAGGGGCAATGACAGACGATCATTACAAAAAATGTCCCCTCTCAATAACCAGTTGAACAGGTGTCAGGTTTCTTTACAGCTGATACTCTCCCACTGGCTTTGTACAGCTACAGCTGCAATATCTGACATATATGAGGGACGGAAAATGATTTTAGTATTAGTAAATAAATAAGTAAATAAATGTGTATATAAATACAGGAATAAAAAAATGAATAAGGAAGTACACACATGTATAAATAAATTCAGGAATAAATAAATAAATGAATGTATGACTAAATACTTATTTAAGTGTATAAATAAATAAATAAATACAGGAATAAATACATATGTGTATGAATAAATACAGAAATAATAAATAAACTAAACCTATAAACTAAATCAATGTATAAATGAATACAGAACTAAATAAATAAATGTATGTATAAATAAATATGGAATTAATAAATGAATGTGGTAATAAATACAGATATTAATTAATTAATAAATAATGACAGAAATACAAAAATAAATAAATGTATAAAAAATATAGATTCATAAATACAGGAATAAATAAGTAAATAAATACAGAATAAATCAATGTATAATGACAGGAATAAATAGATACATGCAGAAGTAAATACAGGAATAAATAAATGCAGTAAAAAAGTAGAGGAATACATAAATAAATAAATATGGAAATAAATTTTAAAAAAGACTACATAAATGAGTAAATAAATGCATGAATAAATGTTAAATTAGCAATTAGTAAAAACAGAATAATGTATAAATAAAGGAATAAAATTTGATCATTAAACGGCACATAAATAATGTCTTAACTTTATTTCTACATTTTGTGCAAATACATTTTTTATTTCTGTATTTCTGTGTCTGTAGGTCAATAAGGTAGGAAACCTAAACATCTGCATTTATCTCTTTTTTCCCCAATTATTCCCATATTTATTTCAGCATTTATTAATTCTTCTATTCTTGTATGTATTCATTCCTGTATTTATGTATGCCATGCCATTTCCCGGCCTCCATACACAGTGAGGAGTTTCATCTTACAGGAAATGATACTCACAAATCACATTGCCCAGTTTGAAGTCCAGGTTGATCTCCAGCAGCTGGAAAGCCAGAAACACAGCGAGGAGGAAGGCAGAGATGAGCGCTGCTAGCTTCAACACACCTGCAGATATATCAGATACACATTTAGGATTACAGCACACACACATTTCCCATAGCGTTATACTACAGTGTGTAACCTTGTACTGTATAGTCTAAAGGAGGACACACTCACCGCCAGCCCTGAACATCATAGCGAGGGTGCAGCTACTTTGCCCACAGCTAACGACCTGTGGTGACGACACACAGTCCATGTTTAGCTTTTTAACTATTCATGTGTCACCCCTCAGTCTGCGGGAAGTAACCAGGGGTCCATGACAGCAATAAGGAGACGTTAACTTTAGCTGTTGGCTGCTAGTAGTTGAAATTAAGCACACTGCTAATGCCAAATAAAGACACATGGATATTTTAAAACCACTCTAGCTTCACTCTAGAGTTATTACAAGGCAGTAAGTCGTTATGACGCCCTTCATCGGTGTTAGCTAACTGTATCATACTGTACATAGCTTTGAAGCTAACTGTTAAAAGCTAACTGGCGTCAACTGCTTTTAAACTGACGTTACATGTCTGTTGTAACTTCCTCGTCTGACTGACTGGCACCCAACATCCACCGGAAATACAATGCTAATAATAATAATTTAGAAATGGCGTTAAAAAGTGTCTTTGGGATAAAAGTACACACCTTGCTTACCTGTTTAATTCCCACTTTAACAACGGGTCCCGGTGTGGTTCAATATCTACTACACTGATAACGGTGATTCGTGTGATGACAGCTAGAGATAGGTTGAGGTAGAAGTGACGTTAAGATGGTTCACTCTGTTGGAAAAAATGACGACAAAATGGCCGACAAACCTGTAGGTTTTTTCTTTTTTTTATTGTTGATTTGTAGCACTTTTAAACTAAATTTAAAATCGTTTTGAATATATTTTTATTTTTGCACCAATTATCTGCATTTTTTCTATTTTAAATGGTGATTTTTTTTAAAACTGCAAATAATTTAGTAATTAATTTGACCTTTTTTTTTAATATATTTTCTTCTGCTTTTTTCTGTATAATTTATATTTACTTGCTCGGTAAGGCACTTTGAATTGCCCTTGTGTATGAAATGTGCTATAGAAATAAAGCTGCCTTGCAAAATCTAACAAGCAACTTATTTTAAAAATGTGTTTAAACAATCTTATCTTGCGTTATCGCATAAAAAAAAATATAATAAAGCAAAAACAAATGAAAACATATTTACAACATTCATAAACTATGAGGTTAGCTTTTAATGAATCGTGTTTGAAGTTTTGTAGTTTATATTTGCATTGCAGTGTGAAATACATCACCAATAAATGTATTAATGTCCTTTAATACTTCTAAATATATTGTTCCTTTCAGAATTGAGCTAATTGTAAATATATAGTAACCACATTTTCTAATATACAACTGTAAAAAAAAAAAAAGATTCACAAGTTCACAGTAGGCAGTTATTTAAATCTGAGTTTAATATGTTCCTCTGAGCATGGATGGATTATTGAGCGGGCCAACTGATTGTAAGCCCAGGGGCCCAAAGTGTCAGGGCGTCCCTGGCCTTCACCTGCAAAATGTCACTCAAATTACAACCTACCAACCAGGAAGAGACTCAAAATAACCACAGACGATGCAAATGAGCAGCAGAGAGACATCTACAAAACAACAACTGCAAAAGACACAAAACAACCAAAATAAAAGACACAAAATTACCTCAAAGAGACACAAATCTCATACAAAAAGAAACAAAGCCACAAAAAGATGCATCACAACAACAAAAGAGACACAAAACTACCACAAAGTCTGCATGTCTTTCTTCTATGTAGGAGAGGTGGTGGGGCTTTGTGCAATACCTGTGCCCAGGGGCCCTTTCTCTCTTAACATCTAATTTACTTTGCATATGGTAAATTACACTTATTTGGGTGTTAAAGCAATAAAAAAAAACATTAAGATTCTATCCTCCATCCCCAGCCCCCATCCTGTATTTCATCCTCACTGCAAATTTGCATGTGAAATTTGCAAACTGCAAAGTTCCCCCTCACAGCAACATGGACTCAAGAGTTGTGGCTAATTCAGTAATATATTAATAGAGTTATGAGCATTCTTGTGCAGTAGTTGTACTTCTGCTTCTTCAGTGGGGAAATTATGTTTTTGTCTGCAGTTTGATGTGAGAATTGATGTATTTTTCTTTCACCCTGTAAGACTGGAATAGGTTTTTCATGAGTGAGACATCATATCAATGACCTATCTTTGTTTCCGTCACAACAACTTCCTCCTTTTACTTATTCTCTGTTCACTTCCAAACAGATGCGAGGCGTCACAGCGCCGCAAACGTCCTCTGGTGGGCAGAAGCTCTGGCAGGTTTATTGAGAGTTACATCTGATATTTGCATATTTTAAACACATAATAATATTCTGTATTTTTTTGTTTGTTCGTTTTTTCTACAAATGCACATTTTTAGGATTGTTAAGTTTATTTTCACATTGAACAGAAAGTAAAAATATGATGCAGCACAGATTAAAATAAAATAAAATAAAAAATACTGTACAAATCAAAGAGTAAAGCAATGAAATAAAGCAAGCTCAATAAATTATGACATTCTCATGCTTGTCCTCCACATCCTCCAAACGTGCCACAAAGGGCGCTCCCATCAAAATCAGGGATAAGTCCAACAAAATGCCACCGACAGTCTTTATCAACACAGCTGGTCTCCATCTTGAACATTCATTATATCCATGAGGAGGTGTCATGTGTCAGTCAATAAGATCCTGGAAGAATAAGAACATATCATAAGTGTAAGTAAACATGGGAAAATCACACAATTTAAAACAGATCTCAATAAATACAAGTGATTATAAGTCTTACATCATCTGAGTCCTGCTGGCAGGCCGTTCCGTTGCTGCTGGTGGCGCTCTCAAGATCACCTGTGATGCCGTTATCATCAAGCTGACTCCTGAGGTTGGAGAAACGATACGTCGGTGACCTGCAGAGGGCGACATGACACCAGGATGCTCAGCTGCTGTTGGGTGCATGAAAGTGTACATGCAGTGTGTGTGTGTGTGTGTGTGTGTGTGTGTGTGTGTGTGTGTGTGTGTGTGTGTGTGTTGCTCACATGTTTCTGTAAACCATCCTCTTGACAGCAAAGACAGAGGAAACAACAGCTATCAGGACGATGACCCCTGCTCCTGCACACACCAGGATCAACACCAGCCTCTCTCGCTGGAAAACACACACAGCTACTGTTATAGTCCTAAAAACCTCCTGAACAACTGAAGGTACACACACATCAGAGAAACACATCTACTGACCGGTGTGTCAAAGTGTGTGACTGGAGACGAGGACCTGGCAGGGGGACCTGGGCTGGGTTTAACCCCACAGGGACTGATGACTGTCTGCGCACTGAGCTGAGGGCTGAATCCCCCCTCACACCGATCACTGGGGACCTTACGGTACCTACAGACACAGTCACAAGTGTGTGAGCACGTAGAGGAAGTGTGTGTCTTCATTTTAAATAGGAGTGACCGATATTTACCCTGCTGTGAGGAGCTCATCCTCCTCTCCATTCAGACAGAGCTCCAGGGTTTTATTTGGAGCGCTGGGTTGTCTCACACACTCTGAGGTGTTCACATGGCGATGGTAACCGTAGTCGCTGTTGAAAAAGACTTAAAATTAGAGTTTCTTAAGGGAATATTCTCCATGCTGTGTTAGCTGTTGGGCCGCTTAAGTTCTGTTAAAACTCTCTTAAAGGCCAGTTGCACATAACACCTTAAGTTTTCTGCTTCAGTTTCATACTTAAGGCTTAATTTCTCCTTAAGTGAGGGACCCCAGCTGGCACTGGACGTCAATGTGATGTCAGAAAGACTTTGGACTCTTACGTCAGACATATGTTGAAGTTTGGTTGGCATGAAAATCTGCTTGAGGTCATTTACCGCCATAAACTGAGACGTACCCTGTTTTTTTTTTTTTACCTTGCTTTGGTTGCTAAGGTCTTTAATGCAGCGGTTTAGGGATTCCTTAAGTATAAGACCAAAACGAGGAGAAAACTATAAATACTTAAGTGAACATCTTAAGGGAATCTTAAGGAGAAGACTTAAGGGTGTTTTGTGCAATTATTTTTAAAGAAAACCTTACATAGGACTTAAAGAAAAATCCAAACTTAAGGTGCTTTGTGCAACTGGCCCCAGAACTTAAAGGAAAACCTTGACTTTAATTGTTTTGTGCAAGCGGCCACAGGTCTCACAACTGGGATTCAAGATTTGTATATCACATAATATATCCATAGATAAAAAGATAATAATAACAAATTGACGTACCATAAGTAATCTTCTCTGGTGCACAGGCAGGGTCTTTGCTCCTTGCTCACCACAAAGCTTCGCCCATTTCTGCACACAGATTCTTTCTTTAGCCTCCTGTACGTCTCTCTGACACCCAGGAGACAGCCGTTTCTCTCCGAGTCGCCTGTAGCATGAGCCAACCACTCCTCATAGTCCTCATCATTACCTGGAGACCATCAGAATGAAGCTCACTGACAATCGTTTCACAATTGTAGGCAAAGTGACACCGTCCCCCACACACACTTCCTGCAGCTTCATAACGGCCCCACTCAAGAGGTGACACCAAATCCAAGTTTCCTATTGCTGTCATATCGGATTTGTCGAGCAAATGTGCTGTCACATCACAACACAGATTAGTACTACAAACACAAAACAGTAACCGTCAGTTTACTTCAAAATCTGCAGAGAGTCAAGAGTTTAACAGGCAGCTAATGCTTCATCAGGACTTCATGGACAAGGTTATTAAAGGTAACTAAAACTAAACTAAAACTAGCTGTGAAAACATTTGAGTTTACAAAAATAAAAAAAAAACCTAGACTTTAAAAACTAACTGAAATTATATTTTGTAGTTACAAAACCAACTAAAATAAAATAAAAACATATTACAGGAAACATTTTTAGCTTTAGCTTTAGCTTTAGTCTTTGTCAGTGTGGTCAAAACAACAAGCATGAGACCAGGATGTCAACACGACTGTGACTCATTTCCCTTCACAAAGGGTTGTGTTTGTATTGTAATACCTTTTCTGAACCTCTGAAATCCTTTCCCCTTAAAAATGACCCCCCATATCATAATAAAAAAAAACTGAAATTAATACTGACGCTGATAAAAGCAAAACTAAACATTTTTAAACAATGAGAACTAAACTGAAAAACTAAAACTAATGAAAAATACAAACTATAATGATTCTGCTGTGATGGTTCATTTGATCAGATTTGAATGACAGGACCAAACAACCCACAACACTAACATGTAACTGAAATAAAACACAGTTCTTAGACATTAAGGTTATGGAAAGTCCCACGTCATGGGTTGTTAAGTTCCTGTAATGGGAAACTGCTGCAAGGCTCCAACTCAGCGGCAATCTCAGAACCCATCGGCTATCGGTCTAATGCAATTTAGTCTCTGAGGGCAGAGCCAATACTTCAGGGGTTCCGTTGGAGCCACATATCTGGATACACAGGCCAAGACTCCCTCTTTCACATCATTTACAGTCTATTAGCAATTTCAAAACTTATCAGACCATCTGCCTGATGAAAATGTATAAACAGATATGAGCTTATGAATGCAGATGAACCAAAAACAAGCTAACAAGAAGGGCACTTCGAGAGTGCAGACCTCCACCAGGGCTAAATGCCTTGTCTCGCAATGTTGAAGGTGCAAAATACAACATCCAGAATATGAGCTTAGCAGGAAACTGGAGCAGGAAACGTACGCTACCCAGACTAGGCATGCATAGGAAAGTGGTGCTCTTAAAGGACAGTATGAGCGCTGCTGTATGAGCACCCTGTTAGCTCCGTCAGCACTGTCGCCATTGTCTGTGCTGCTGATAACTCATTGCGGAAGCACAATGCCCACCCTCCCCTCAGGTCGCCCAGGTGACTGTGAGTTAACCCTGTTTAACACTGTTAGCTCACTGTTGCCATTGTTGGCACAGCACTGCTAGCCACCACCATTTCAGCTCAACCACCTCCATGTTTGTTGGCGATGTACGAGGTGAGAGCCATGTGCAATCCCAGCCAGACTATACATGTTGTATATAGAGTGCTCAAGGGATGACACTTTTCTGTAGGCCAACACGGACGTTAGCGTCACCCTGGCTCCCTGTAACAGAAAGTAGTATTCCAGAAAATAAGCTCTGGAGCAACAAAAAGTTTATGACACTTACAGGCTTTGTTCAGCAAGATAATCTCAACAAATGAACACCACAATTACCAGAAGTAAAAGCTAGCATTAGGCTATAAACAAACTACGTATAACGTTTGCATGAGTTAACGTCCGTACGACTATGAGGCAGTAAAGCCGTGTTCAGCGTGATGACGTTCTGTAGTTTTATCTAGCCTCTTGTCGGCAACTGCCTTTTTTAAGGCACGTAAAAGCTTCAAAATACAGGAGTTGGGTATTTACTTATGTATTTTATGTCAATGAACAAATCATGAAAGTTGTGTTAACCACAGACCTTATTTCAGGCATCCAACCAAAAACCCATTGAGTTTGAGACGAGGGAACCAGGAGTGCAAGAACGCTAAGTCATTTCCAGGTTTTAGGACTCAGTCCTGGGGCACTTTATTACAAAGTAAAAATAATTTGTACATCTGCCCCGTGATTTGGATCTGCTCCATAAACTTAAAGGATAACTTTTATTTCAACTAATTCAGTATTTTTCAACCTGGGCCCTATTTCCCCATGTGTATGTGTGCGTATGATTCATGGGTACAGCTCGTTTTAAAATTGGTTCAGTATTGAGGGAGGCGGATGCAACCGGGAGCCACGAAACGAGCTAAAACGGTAATGGGGGCAAATGCGTCCCGTATAAGTTTGCGCATTAAAAGTGCTTTTTTTCGCCACTGACCGGTTCAGATCGCCAGTGCTATCTCTGTAAATAGCATACTAAACGTTTCCCTAACACTTCACATACTCAAGGCTGTGACGTCATCTAACGAGAGCTTTGCTTGTTGCCGGAAGAAAACAGAGGAGCCATGCAGAGCGCAGCTCAAAGAGGCGCTGGTTGTCCCGGAGTACAGCTGAAAGTTTTACTGCATCGATTGAAAACAATGGTTCGTGTTTGTGCTTATCTGAATCGCGAAGAAGAACAGGGTGTCGCGCAGCACCCCGTACAGCTTTCATAGGCTGCCTTTGTCGGACGGCGAGATGCTGAAGTTGTGGCTAGTTGTGCTACAAATGGATGCTAGCACTCCTGTCCAGACACTGCGCCTTGCAGACCATCAGGTCTGCAGTGCTCACTTCTCCCAAGATGACTACTGCCAGCCGAAGAAGAGAAGACATCCAAACCAGAAACACCTCTTCCTCAAGAAAACGGCTGTCCCACGAGTAGAGAGAGCTACAGACACAGTGGAGCAAAGCTCTCGAGAAATGAAGTCACACAGCCCAGAGGTAAGGGAAAGGCTAAGTTAGTATGCTATTTACAGAGATAGCACTGGCGATCTGAACCGGTCAGTGGCGAAAAAAAACACTTTTAATGTGCAAACTTATACGGGACGCATTTGCCCCCGTTACCGTTTTAGCTCGTTTCACGGCTCCCGGCTGCATCCACCTCCCTCAAAACTAAACCAATTTTAAAACAAGTTGTACCTATGAATCATACGCACACATACACATGGGGAAATAAGGCCCAGGTTGAAAAATACCGAAGTTAATCCTTTAAAGGGTTATTCCCTGGACCCATGCTACACCCTCTCATCAAATTTAATTAATATTGCATCAACAAGTTTTTCCATAATCCTGTTGACAAACAGACAAACAAACAGTCTGAGCCAAGTACATAAACTCCTTGGCAGAGGTAACAAAAAGCTAAGTCATCATCAGATGCTAGCCGTCAGGTTCTGAGATTACATTTCGGCCAATGCATTCTGCCTCGTTTCCTCTCCACATGGACTGTTTCCATGCATGTAACCAAAGTCTGCTAAAACATGATCAATGATTCAGACTAAAAATGGACTACAAACGGAAACCAGAACATTTCCAATGCCAAAGTCTTGCCAATATGCAGATATTTCTTTTTATAGAGAATACCTTGCCAGAGGCAGCTTGATACACCTACCGCCAGGTGGTAACAGGCCCTATAAAGGGATGATGAGCCTGAGGAAGACTACATATGGAAGTAGACTGAATTACAGCATTTTGATGACTCACACTCTCTTGTAATGAGGCTCTGAAAATCAATGGTGACCGCCACCCACATTGGCTGGCCGTCGTCCTCAGGCCGGAAGCCCCACACGCTCACATTCATGGCCTTGGTCCCCGGCTCAGACGCCAGGCCTGCAAAGAAGAAGGGCTGCTTGGTGAAGTTGTAGGACTTCCAGCACCGGCCTTCGTCTGTGGAGAACCTGGTTGATGAGAAACAAGGAAAAGTATGGTAACAGTTTTGCCACCTATTGCCAAATAATACTGCTTTTCCATTCTGCATTAAGTATAAATATCTGCTCAGTACTTGATAGTCTTGACTTGTCCTTCATGCTGGGCCTCCACAGCCACAATGAGACCTCCAGAGTCTAATATGCTGTAGTGGTGGGGACCCCTTAGCGTCCCCCTCCAGTTATAACCCCCATCTGAGGAGACGAACACATCTGGGTGCTGTGACGATGACAGAGAGTCACCCACCGTACCTGGAGAAGAGAGGAGATCATCGAAATAGATCTGTAGGTCATCATTACGTCAGATTTAAAACTATTTATGGAAACTTTACTTGAAAACAGAATTAAAAAATTACAATTGTTTAAAGTAACATTGCCGTTCACTTACCATGGGCGATAACCAGACCAATAGCAGTTGGTTCAGACAGAGCCAGCATGGGAACGATGCGAATGTTGCGACTGTGCTCTCCATGAATATGAAGGTTGCACTGATGAAAAACACACACATGATGTTTTACTGAACACTGACTAACACGTAGAATATAATGTTAATGTGCACATGCAGCCTGGGATTAGATTATTCCATATACAACATACATTCCTGACATGCTCTGCACATTCCACGTTCTCGGGTTTGTTGAGTAGCCTCCACGTCCCTCCTCTATTAAAGGAAATGACAGATCTTATACGGCCATCTGCAACAAAACACAAAATTAAAATCATACTTTGTTATTTTATCAAACTGAAAAGGTGTTTGGATGATAAGTTAGCCGTGCAGATATAAGGCTGACATTGTTCTACATTTTTTGTCGTCAAGAAATCCCATTAGAAGACGAAAATCAACAATGTACAAATATTTAAAAAAGGCTCAGTTATCTTCTAAAACAGCTGGGCACTGTAGTTTCAAGCAAACGTCACTTAAACAAGAGTAAGTAGTGCATTTGTTGGGGACTATTTTCAGCGGTGGATTAATACACATTTGATGCCCTAGTGAGGCTTTACAGCAGCAGCTTGGTGAATATGGGATCGACTTGAAATAAACAACAGCAGCCTTTGTTCATCAGGATGAAGAATAACGTCACCCAGTGTAACAGTGTGGCTCAATAATGTGCTTTAATACATTTCAGACAACAAAATAAAAGGACTAATTTAGCGTACACTCAATGCATTGGTAGAAGTGTAGCCAAAAGTGCTAAAGTTACACAGAAAACCCACCTTCGTCCAGTTTATTTGTGAGGTAGACTCCTCTCAGTGACGTTATGTTGGTGAAATCACTCTTCCTCTGCCCATCAAACAGGTGGCGCTCTAGCGATTTGGAGAATAAGATGCCCCGGTCATCGGACGTGTACATGGTTCCAAAGTAGGTGTCTGTGGTGAAACAGAAGACAACAGGTAGAGACAAATGACAATATTAGCCTTTTGCTACATTAAGACACATCATTACTCTTCTAAATCCAAAGCCCAAAGTTACCAAGTAGCTGATTTGGTTATTTTAAGGTGCTGTATGCAGCATTCAGAGCATATCTATGATTCAGAGTTTGAGGATTGTCAGCACGTGGTTCTCAACATGGAGGTGCTGAGCTGGCACCTAGCAGCTAATGGTGCTAATAGCGTTATCAGTGCTAACAGTGTAAACAGTGCTGACAAAGCCCATCTTTTAAAATCAGTCATTAAAAAAAATTCACAGAAACCTTGCACACTGAGTCCAATGCATTTTATTGTTCTATCTGTGTAAAAATGAAAAGACACATTTCCTCCTTTGCAAAACAAAACAACCGGTCCGAGACCTTCTTGAAGGCCTCGTTTTCAAACTGTATGGTTTGACTAAAATGAACAATGACAGCAATATAGTCCACGATGAGCAGCGCTAAAATCAACCTGCGTAGCTGTCCCTCCATTGTGACATTAGAAAGTGTCACATTTATCTGGCAAGTGTACTCTTCTTCAACGTTTGGTTTACTTCCTGGATTTTTCCCACATGTAAATTCTGACCAATCAAGAGCAGCTTTCTCACACAAGGCATTTGATCTGGTCCGCTTGTAAATGCTGCCGTGAGAACATGAACCAATTCTAGGCAGTTATGCAACTTTGGAACAAAATTAGTCCCTGATCAGTCAGACCAAAGAGACAACTCTAGGTCTGAAAGCACCCTTAAAGAGGTAGCATGCTCAGGATGTCATTACTCCACTATATCTTTACATAGCAAACAGTTGTTTGCTGCTACATTTAAGCTGCGGTATGCAGTTCTGGAGAAAGCTAGTTGATTCCTAGGTCATAAAAAAAGCAGTATTTGATTACCTGGAAATGAATCAAAATTCTTTCTCTAGAATCACATGCTGTACCTTTTTAATGTTTTGAATGTTGTATACAGAACCTTTAATGGAAACACATTGTTGAAAATACATGTAAAGGAGTTCTTGTTGCGTCTTTTAGCATGAAGTCATCATCATAAAATCAACAGTGATATCGTAGCATATAGATACAGTATTCATCACATTGGTAGTGTCTGTTTCATGCTCCTGACAGTGTTCTAGGGTTTAATCAAAACCTCATTTCTAACAAACCACATTACTTCCTGGTGCAAAAGGGATGTTGTTACTCAACAAAAACTACAGAGAGTGATTTTGTTTTTTTTTGTCTTCTCATCACACAGTTTACCAGTGCCACAAAAATTATGACATGTATCACCTTCAAAGGGAATCAGCACCTGGGAACAAGTGATGCAATGCTGACACAAACCTTTCAACATCAGCATAATAACAACTAGTCATCATCAATCATATTTTTACTGCGTGAAACTCACACACACTCACACACGTGTCAGCTAAAGCCATGAAGGACAAGCTCAGCTGAGGGACTTGATGGTTTCTTGTGTGTGAGTGTGTGCTTGCGTTACACCCTGATCCCAAGATATGTTTGTCAGCTTTTGCAGTGTAAACTAAATCTCCCTCCCTCCAGCCAACAAAAGATAAAGCCCCTCTCCCCCATATCTCCCCTATTTATCTCAGCAGTACAAAAGTCTCATCAACTAACCCTCACAGCACCAACCGGAGCACTTGCCAGGGAAAAAAAAGAAAAATCACAATGTGAGAGGAAACAGAAACAGACGTGAATGAGAAAGACAAAACTGAGGGGGGAGGGAGAGAGGGAGAGAAGGGAACAAAGACTGGGCAGCTGGACTCACATGCACAAACACACTCTCAGTATGATGGAATGATTTGTCAGCAGCACCGAGAACTTGTGAAACCAGTCCGGCCTTCACCGTTGAGCTTTTCCATTACAACAAAAGGGGCTGAGAGAGCTATAAATTCTGTCACAGCATGGGCATATTTGCAAATACGTGTCAGGTGTGTTTTTATAGTAGTTTCTTAAGGTAGGTGTGTGTGTGACTTCTGGGTGGAAAATAAGGACAGAGCTTTGTGCCTGTGTGTGTTTTTTTGTGCGTGTGTTGTTACCTCCTGGGTTGTCCACATGCATGAAGAGCATATCTTCATCTCCATCCAGGATGGAGTAAAACTGCAAACACACACACACACACACACACACACACACACACACACACATATTGAGTAAGAGAAAACATGTGGGTGAGAAAATCTGGAGCTGCAATTAAAAAAAAACAAACTTTGTGATGACTAATTTAATCTTTGCTATAAACCTTGTCTAATCGTCGTGAGAGAGTGTGTGTGTTTGTGCTGTCAACAAGGTGTGTATGTGGGTGGGTGTTTCGCCAGAACAGATGTGTGTTCAGCTGGTGTTGAAAAAGGAAATGTTGCCATCGATGCTTTTACTTTAGGTGAACCAACCTCCACAACGTCCGACCATGAAGTAAGTGTGTCTGTGTGTGTGAGTTTAGAACTTCCTAAACCTCAAGTCTTACTCAAGAGTGTGAGAGGAACATGTGACAAAGGGGATATTTACAGGAAATAGTTAATTCACACCCAATTATGTATAAAATAAAGATTAATAAATAAATAAATAAATAAATAAGCTATTTAAACAAAGATATTGGATCAAAATATACATACAGAGACATTTATGGACTAAAGGCAGATTTATAGTTGTGCATGAGCTCTATGCAGAGCCTACGCTATGGCCTATGCTACATGAGCATTCATACTTGTGTGGTGGTGTGTCTGTGTCACTCTGCAGTTGAAGCTGGGTGCTGTAAAGTTTAATTGATTCAAAACACACATTAAACATGGCTTAATAGCAACAACAAGTACCCAAATAGGCTTCACTATAACTCGCAGCATTCACAGACAAACACTATCTGGACACATTTTCCCCACAAATACAACATGCTAATGTTTTAAGCACAAGCCTATGGCATTTTACGTTGTATAAATTAGCCTAGCGGCTAGCAGACTTTTCCTCTACTCATATGAAGCCAGGGACAACAACAACATTTAACAAAGGTAACATTACTAAATTCAGCTCCATTACAACTCACAAGGTTCAAAGACAAAACAACTGTCTTATACTAAACACGTTTTCCAAACAAATACAACATGCTAATGTTATTAGCAACAACCCTATGGTATTTTACATTATATAAATTAGCCTAGCAGCTAGCGGACTTCTCCTCTACTCATATGAAGCCAGGGACAGCAGCAGCATTTAACAATGGTAACAATACATAACTCGGCTCCATTACAGCTCATTAGGTTCACTGACAAAACAACTGTCTTATACTAAACACGTTTTCCAAACAAATACAACATGCTAACGTTATTAGCACAAGCCTATGGCATTTTACATTGTATAACTTAGCCTAGCAACTAGCAGAGATTTCCTCTACTCATATGGAGCCAGGATAAATCACACACAAGACTTAAAATGCTATTTTATAGAGGCTTTATTGTCTTCACGATTTATTGTTTCTTATCTGTGAAATTAAAGTAAGTAAAAGCTAGCAGTAGATGCACACTTCCTTCTGCATAAGATACGGTTGTCAGGTGTAGTTTGATAGACAGAAAATAGTTCCTACACAAGACTGCTCACAACAAGGTCTGAGGATTATCTTGAGTAACCGGGTCATGATTAATGGAAAGACACACTGCTGTTGAGTTTTGTAAATGTATTTTTCTGGCGCTTTGAGCACCACAAGCTGAGTGCCATGTAGTTCCATTATATTCAAGAGAAGGCAGACATCTCCATGGCCAATATCTCTAACACTCTGCAACTCACACCAAAACAATTTAGATTAATAAAAAGCTCTCAAGGTATAACAAGAAATATGTATTTTTGATTTTGGGATGAACTGCCCCTTTAACATCTGTACGTTACCTGTGTACAGTGCAATGTATCATTTGAAATATCTGAATAATAGTGCCAGAGTTTTCAGTTTATTTTAGTCTAAAATTTGATTGAAAAATGGAACTAGGCAGTTTTTTGAGATTGTGCGCTTCACCAATACCAAACAAGTAGTCTAGTTTAATCTCTCTCTCACCTGCTCAGTGGAGGCAGAGGGCAGCAGCGCTTGACTGAAGGTATCTCCTTGGTCTGATGAGAAGTACATGACACGAGGGGATCTCTGCGAGCAGAACAATGCATCACAGTGTTGTTAATACTTGATGCTCTCATTTGGATGTATAAGTGTAACATTAGCGGTCTTTCATGTGATACTGACATGAAGAGGAGGTTTTGTATTCGCACATCTTACCGAGTCCTCCATCACAGAGAAGAAGAGAAACGCTCCGATGTAGCCAAAACTGTAGATGTCCTCGTGGATTGTGGTGAAGGTCTTCCCCAGATCTTTGGTCCTCTTCAGCACTAAATCCCCCCGCTCATCTGCCTCAACTGTGGCAACAAGAAGGAAGACTCAGTGACGGGAATATGACATACTCAAGACTATTTATGTATTGTTTTTCCCTCTGATTTTAATTCAGTGATGCCTGATATTTTAGCTGCTACATTTTTCAAATCTTGTTAAAGATTATCAGACAGAGTTTGGATTGAATGTAAAATGCATGCTAGTAGTTCCAGACCATCCTCTGTGTAAAAAGTTTGACATCCTCCCCTCTCGTCAGTGATACAGGTGTCTGAAAATTAGGGGCAACAAGCTCAAATGCTGCTCATTTTTCCCTGTGTAATGAATGCTGTTGGATTCTCCAACAATATCTTATTCTTATATATTAATATTCTATCAAATTTTACTGTGTTTTACATTGTGTTTTTAGATTTTGGTTGTTTTTAACTTTATGTTTTAGGATTTTAGTCATCAGATGTTTGAATCTGAAGTTATTTGGGAAATAAGCTGAGCAAACGTTCGCGGCAGCTCAGCACAAGCCCCTGCTATGCCGAACTGCACCAGAAAAACACTGACTTTTAACGTGAAACTGCTTTATTCAGAGAGGAAGAGACCTCTAGGCTTAATTCGGCTCCCTGTAAAAACCTCCTGAATGTTTGAATCTTAAGCTATCGGTGCCAGGCTAGCAGCCCCTCCTTGAAGAGCCAAACAGCATTAGGGAAACGGTAATTTTTAATATGAAACTGCTTTATTCTGTGTTTCTATTGATTTAAATCACCTGGTCTGTTTGTTTTGGAGAGGAAGGGACCTCTGCACTAAATTCATCTCCCAGTAAAAACCTCCTGAATGTTTGGATCATAACCTATCAGAGGAAAAAGGGGAGCACACATTAGCAGGTGCTGGGCTAGCAGCCCCTCCTCAACGAGCCAAACAGCATTAGAGAAGCACTGGTTTTTAAAATGAAACTGCTTTCTTCAGTGTTTTTATTGATTTAAATCACCTGGTCTGTTTGTTTTGGAGAGGTAGAGACCTCTGTGGATAATTCGGCTCCTGGTAAAAACCTCCTGAACAATTAACACTAAAGGAATTCTAACCAGGAGAAACTGACTGCAATGACACAATCTTTAGTTACTGTATTGATTGAGAGACCCCCTAGCAATAGAAAATTACATATTGTAGGTTTAATGTCAGATTTCTCTGATTTTTAATCTTGCATAGCTTTTAAACACACATAGTAAATAAAAAATATGAAACCAGACAACAATATACAATATTACAGCTGAACATTTGCATTAGAGTCGGTTTGGGATTTGAGGTTTGTGTTTAGGGATCGAGGTTCCTTTAATTAAGCACCACAGAGGTTAAAATTGCTAAAGGTGCATTCCATATAGCTTCTTACCCGTGTCTGTTTGACTGTAGCTGAAGAACAAATTAATGCCGGCCCCCCTAATGGAAAAGAGGAAGTTAAAAAATGTCACAAACACTGAAAAAATGTCACAACAATTTCCATATGAGCTGTTTTTAACAGATTACTTTTCTTCTGCAAACCAAAACACACTGCATATTATATTAACTGGAAACAAAACACTGCAGTAAAACTGCAACACTGACCTACAGCTTTACAAATATACGGTTCATGGAACGTGCTTTCTTTTAAATGTACTGGGATTCAGTGTGTGGTTTTTCTTCCTATTTATTCTCACCATGAGAAAGAATGCACTCCATCATGAACTTTTGTCCACTTGGCGCCAAAGTCCAGAGAGAGCCACAGACCGCCCTGCGAGTCAGGAAGGAACAGAGGAGTGTTTACCTTTACTTTAAGGTGTGTGCTTGATGTGTGCAGGCATAATGTTTGTGTGTTTTACCCGAGAATATTACACACAGCGAGGAAGACCATCGTGACCTTGTGAATGAAAATAATAAAGTAAGAGAAACAACGTATAAAGGATGGCCATGTGACTCACATCAATGCTGAGGGCCACAAGGTAGTCGGGGTTGAGGAAGTGGTACGTGATTGGCTGGGCCAGGTGGAAGGGTAGTTGGATGAACTTGAAGGTCGCACCGGCGTCTGTGGAGGTGAAGATGATCCCGCCTGGGTGGTCCACCACAGGTATGTCTGCTGTCAGTATCACCTGTCAATTAAAGGTCCAGTGTGTAGGATTAGTGGCAGAAGTGCCCCCTAGAAAAATTCAACAAAGCAGCCCCCGCCCTACGTTTCACCTAGAAGTATGAAAATGTGTAGGCTTTTGTAACGTCCCAAGACGTACAAAAAAGCCTCTTGGAGCTATACCCTAAACCCAACAGGAAGTCGGCCATTTTGATTTTACTCTGCCACTTTTGTGTAATCTTTAACCCTTTCAAGGGATCATACTTTGATGAACTCCTCCAACAGATTTGATCCAATTGACTTCAAATTTTGTCTGTACCATCTGAAGACTGTGGACATCCAAAGTTGCTTAAACTTTGAGTTTTGGTTGAACTGTGTGACTGTGGCGAGGTGTCAAATATCAATGTTTCGCCACCCAACAGGAAGTGGTTTGTAACTCCAGCACACATGGTCCAATCTGCCCCAGACTTCACATGTTTTGTAAGGCTCCAGGCCTGAGACCAATGGCATGCACACTAGGTGTCACAGTGATTGCGCCACCGACTGGCAACAGGAAGTAACATTTGTCAGACAATTATCTTTTGATTTACCTGCAGGTAGCACAGTGGGGTCTACAATTGATTCATAGCAACACAACGTAAAATTATTGTGTTCTCCAGCGCCACAGAAAGTGGTACAAAATGCGCTGCAACAAAACATGTCTTAGTGATTCTGCACCAATGAAAACATAGTTACGAATGTTATATTCCATTTCACACTGGACCTTTCAAATCATTAAAAGCAAGCCTGAGATGGAAGGTGGGCAGGGCTGATGACAGGTTACTAAACATAAGCTAAAGGGAAGAAAATATAAACATTACATTGCTTGCTACTTCATATTTTGATTTGCAAAATCTGATGTAAAACAAATGTAGGCCAAGGACGTAATGTGGGGGGTAATGGTCCCTTCCCTACTTCCTACCCCCCAACTTCCAGCCCCCTTGCTAGACCACACCCATCTTAGAAGTTCACTTGAATTTTGATCTCAGCTACACATCTGTAAAGTTTCCTGTCTGCATCTTGCACAGCTGTGACCTAGCAAAATACTCAAAACAGCTTCTGTGGTTGTTTCCGCTACAGTTGGTGTCACCAGGACCACATTTACCATTATGACATCACCAGCCATTGTGATGTTGATGTGGTTGGTAAAACAAAAGAAAGCATCCAAATTGTAAATATAACCCTGTTAATCCTAATCTTAAAACCTGTACAACAGTGCAACTCTCACTCTGTTACACTATTCTTGTCTAGTTTCACTAAGCTGCATCTGGAGCCAAAATATCTACGCACCACGACAAGAGCAAAATAAACTGGTTTGACAGTGAAGATTTGGCACAAGATGAACAGACAGCTGAGCAACCAGCCAGATGTCTTCACACTTTTTGTGAGGCAACATCACACACTTCTTCCCAGGTAGCAACATGCAAGCGATTTCCCCAAGTGAAACTCTTAACGGCTCACACAGTACGTGCCCTCCTGTAGACTTACAGAGCTCCCTGGTCCAACACTGACTCCAAACTCCTCCCTGATGAAGGTGTTGTTGATCCGATGGGAAATGTCATGGAAGGATTTTGCGTAATCCGTGCTGAGGAGAGAGGAAAGAAGTTTTTATTGGATGTTTGAGTTTTACTCAAGTTGAGCAATGTCTTGAAATCTGTCAGAACTCACCTTCGATAGAGTCGAGAAGAGCCGCCTTCTAGGAACGAGTCTATCGGAGCACTAAATGTTGACAGCACCAGGACGACCTGAGAAAAGCAGCAATATGGTTACAATTTGAGATTATTGTAGTGCTTTTAACTGACCTTCCAAAACAGTCAATTACATTTTTTTAAAACCTACTCAGAATTATGCTGCTATGCTGGGTCTTTTACCCAGTACAAGGAAGAGAAGGTTTTAGCTACACTCCATTGGCTCCTTGTGTCTTTTAGAACAGGTTTTAAGGTTCTTTTACTTGTTTCAAAAGCTCTTAGAAGTTAGAGTGTAAAGTGTAGGCCAGTCTCAGTCATTTTTATAATCCTTCGTGAGCTTTCAGATCTTCTCACTGCTGATACGTACAAGAAAACATGCGGTGTAGCTTTTGTTAAGTATGATCCAAAAGTATAGAGTACCCTCTCAAACACTATAAGAGATGTAGGCTCGGTGAACATTTTTAAGCAACAGCTAAAAACCTATTTATTTAGTTTGGCTTTTAATTAATGTAATAATTCTTATTCTTCTGCTTCTTTTAAATTAATTCTCTAATTTGTATTATTCTTACTGGTCATTCATATTTCTTCATCTACTGTGTTTTTATTGTCTAATTTTGTTATTCTTTTAGCTCTTGTTTTAATTTGTTGCATTTTTATTGTGTCTCTTGGATTCAAAAAAAGGGCTCAATATTATTATTTTATTTTTTAAATATTATTCTATGTATTATTCATTTATTTTTTTATTTGTTTAATTATTTTAATAGAAATTTTTACAGTATAAAATATATCTGAATCATGTTCAGCCAGCTATGAAGATTTAATCACTTTTCATTTCAAATTCAATATGACATACTTTGATTTTATTCCTAAGTTTGAGGGAGTTTAAAAAATGATATTTCAGATCAATTTTTCCAACAAAAAAAGTACACAAAAAATTAATAATCATAAGAGACTGTTCATTATTTATGAGGTGAAAGGGGTGGTAAAAAAAAAAGGAGGAGGCATGTCAAATAATTTTTCAAGCATGCGGGGGGACTTATGTTTTTAATTTAGGTAAAGGAAAAGGAGCATACAAATTTAAGTGGCTGTATTTTGTATCTATTTTACCGCCAGTTTTTTGGGAAGGAATGTCTTTTTTGAAAATTGCCAAATGTGCACCATTTATCATAACTTGAAACTGTACCAACAAAAATTATTGTTGGCTTTTTTTTTTTAATTTTTAACTTCTATAAGTTGAATTTCTGATGATCCTCGGACACATCATGTTGGATGAACGTTTCTGTCAGAAATACATTTTTTAAGAAAACATAAACGAATCTGAGCTCAAAATAGTGAAACTGAATTCGAAATCACTTAATTCTATGTCTGTTTGGACCCAAAAAAAAAACAACAACAATTTGTGCCAACTAACTAGCATGTACAACAAGAGTGCTTAAGGAAAAATATCTGTAGTATCACAAAGGGTTGGGAAAAAAAATAAAATAAAATGAGGTCACACCCCAGCCACACCCCTCTGATAAATCAAGATCAGTCCCTAAATTGCAACAAATACTTTGCTGAAAAATGTGAATCTGAAATAAGGAAACTCCATGCACTGCCACAGATGAGACAGTCTGTGTATCTCATACACAGACATACAAATCTGTTGAGAATGATGTGACCTTGTAAGATACTCACCCCTGTACCATCACCCACCCATGTGAGAATCACATAGGAGCCATCATCACCATTAAACCCTGTCTGGGAGAGAGAGAGAGAGAAGAGATCATCATACATGTGACCGAGAGCCTAGGTTTCGTTTCAATATTGGTGGGTTGGGGGGAAACACACAGGGAATAGAGGGTTTGGGGGTTTTGAGCACCGTACACTTAATTTCCTCATCTCTGATGTTTTTATGCACCAGTTTGTGCCTTTTCTGCATCAGTTTATGGTTAAATGTCTGCAGAGTACGAGTCTTCTGCTACTTTCATATTTTATTGGGGGTTGGGGGGCACATATGAAATGGGGGGTTTGGGGGTCCAATGCAAGTGACAGCATCTCCTCTTAAGGTTAATAACAAAAGAAAAAAATAACTAAATTCCATGTATGTGTAATTTCCACTTCTTGTGATGGCCAAGCAACACTGCTTGCCAAACTGGGTTACTGGGCCAATAAACATGACAAAAATGTTGACTGGTTGATTACCACAGTGGTAACCTGATCGTCGGTTTGCATAAATGTCATCATAATCATGCTTAAAATGACAATTGGTGTCATAGTTCCACTAATTTCTGCTGTATTTTTAACAAATATTTTACCTTTTAATATCCTGAAACAGTGCAAAAAACAGATAGAGCAAGAAAGTGGTCACTCCTTGTCCTGGAAACAAGTTAATCTGTGGACTGAAATTAATTTTCCATGTTTAATAAAACTATAACTGCATATTTATAGAGCTTACAGTTCTTATCTGATGGACATCGCTCGTGCGCAAGCCTTTGTCCCATAACTCAAACACATCTCACCTCATGCCTATTGGCATCCAGAACGTCGTGCTCGTGGGGGGTGAGGGGGGTCCGGCAGGAGGTGAAGGGAGGACCATGAGCAGGCCTGGGGGTCCCGGAGGGGCTGCTCATATCCCTCCTAGAGCGCGCGCGCGTTTGCCCCTGGTTCCCATCCTGCTGAGTCCGACGGAAAGTCACCGTCCTGCTGCCTTCAGCACCCAGAAGAAGGACGCACATCCCACCGAGGACCACGAGTCTCCAGATCATGTCAGACTTGACAATAAAGGACCCTGACTCGAAATAAGTGCACCAGTGACTGAGACCTGCCGACACTGACTCGGTTGCGCTCTGAGAGCAAGTGAGGGTGGGACGTGCCTGGTCGGTGCTTAACATGAAAAAAGTGCTGTGTGAAGGGGTGCGTCCTCCACCAGCAGGTGTTTCTGCCCGCATCCAGGTGACCTGAGCTGCTGGGAGGATTTACATTTCAAGTGGATTTAATACAAACGCACCCCGTGGCCGTTTGCAACCACTGCAAGAAGGGAAAATGTGGGAATCAGAGTGACTTTGTGAGGGGTTGATTGGTGATGTTGCAGAAAGGGATGCGTAATAGCCGGAATGGAGAAGTTGTTGCGAGGTGTGACAGAGAAAGGAGGCGTGAATGCAGCATAACAGAGAACTTTGTCCATGTGTTATCTGCAGTGGGCACAGCTGAACGCAAGAGGACGTCATGTGTTCACCTTTAATGTTTCCAGCTGTCAGTCGCGTACCAAAGTGCCTCAGGATAAGTTACGCGCTTTTACGCACGACAAAGAAGACACCAGTGATACTGGAGGAGATGGATGAGAGGCAGGAAGAGAGACAGAAGGAAATGGAAGAGAGGCAGGGGAGATAGAGGAGAGACAGGAGCCTCACAGGTGAGATTGAATCGTGAAGGATATATGTTGATAGTGAGATTCGGCATTGTGACTAGGAGTAAGTAAAAATATTGATTCATGCTTAATATATGCTTTTACCCGCTATCAGTATCAATTCGGATCACTATAGGGAGACATCATGGCTCATTTTAAGGAGCCTTTGCAGGTATGTCAAATTTTGCCTGAAAAAAGGACTGCCTCCTTCCAACGTCTCTGACCGAAGCCACCATGACAATATGCTATCAAGTCGGTAGCACTGGGCCTGAACAAGTTTCTATTAAAACTTGATAATCATAGATATTATAGTTTACCCTGGGAAGCACATACAGACAGATGTGGTTGAAGTTATCAATGTATATTCATGTAACTGGTAACATTAGAGAATACATTAACCAAGACATTCTTGTATTTAGTGTAGATATCTAAATATGCATTATAAAGCAGTGATCAGTTTCACATGACGTGAAATTACATTAAAAAATCATCAATGTACAGGTCGCCGCCATGGAGCACTTTTATGTCCCTACCAATGTGAAAATCAAACCTATGCCCTTGGGTCATTCTGTGTGTCTTTTATGTAAGTTTGTCTCTTTGGATTCATTTGTGTCTCTCTGGGGTCATTTTGTGTCTCTTTGTAGTCACTTTGTGGTTATTTTGTCCATTGTTGTAGTTATTTTTTGTCTCTTTGGGTTCAGTTTGTATCTCTGTGAGGTCATTTTGTGTGTCTTTTTGGTTGTTTTGTGTATCACTGAGGTCATTTTGTGTCTCTTCGGATTCATTTCATGTGTCTGTGAGGTCATTTTGTGTCTCATGTAGGTAATTTTGTCCCTTCTGGCTTATTTTGTGTCTTTTTGGCGATTTTGCATCTCTTTGTGGTCATTTTGTGGTTGTTTTGCCCATTTTTGTAGGTAGTTTGTGACCCTTTGGGTTCATTTATGTGTCTTTGTGGCTGTTTAGTGTCTCATTGAGGTAGTTTTGTGTCTCCTCTGGTTCATTTAGTGTCTGTTTTTAGTCATTTTGTGGTTGTTTTGCCCATTTTTGTAGTTATTTCGTGTCTCTTTGCATCCCTTTGTGGTTGTTGTGTGTGTTGGTATGTGTTAATTTGAGTAACATTTTGCAGGTGAAGGCCCACATTTTAATCTCATCCAGATGTTTGCGTTCTAAAACCATACATGGGATTCAGTTAGAGATGAATACATAATTAAAACCCACTGGATATACCGACTGCATGCTGTTCAGGGGAAGGGAGCCACACAGAAAACAACAAGAGGTCAAATCAGGCAAGTCGCAAACTGTTTTTACCTTATTTTTTAAAGCATTGAACATAACATCCTTGTAATGACTCACCTGCGGTGACCCAGAGACTGGTCTGTTGTCGTGTGGGTGTGCATATGTGCGAATCTTACCGCTGTAACCACCACTACCCCATAAAAAAAAAGCTTCCTGGCCTGTGGGGCAAAGGAAACACTAGGAGCAGAGGAGAAAGACACATGTCCACAGCAGAGGATTTAATGGAGGCCTAACTGTTAAAGCTGTTTTTTGTTCCTTTTCTGGCAATTTAAGGGCACAAAAACTCCACAACAAGCCTGCGAACTCAAAGCCCTGACATGTTGCCCATATGGGTCAGGCTTAAAAAAATGCTGAATCCTACACTTCCATAATGCCAGTTCTCAGTTCACTACCGGCTTCTGGCTTCCAAAAACAGCCTCTGTTTCATTTAGCCTATCTGAATGTTTTCTTAGGCGTAATCCAGATTAATAAATAAACATCATATCTGACAGGATGCGAGTGTTACTGCGACTTCCTGTACAGACTGAAGGCTGCTGGACTCTCTCAGGAGACTGTCGCCTGCAGCCGCCTGATCTCGTCTACTTTCCAGGCGAGGCACTCAAACGAGCCTATTCATTGCTCTTTGTCTTTGAGTTACCTGAAATCACTTCCCGGTTGGAGTTTGGCAAAAGATGGGGCTGAGGGCGGAGCCGGGTTTTATGCAGAGGGCCATCCCACTGACCAGACTAAGAGCTGTGACATCTTGGAGGGATCAGGGGTTTCTTTGTGTTAGTTTTGGTTATTGTCTATGTAAGTTCTCCCCCTTTGTGTTTAATTTGGTCTGATCAGCCAGAATATGTGTCTCATTGTGTTTGGTCTAGTTTTATTAGCCTTATTTTCCAGGATAGTTATGTCATGTTAACGTCTTTGAAGAGCCCTGTAACTTCGGGCATGAGTCACGCTGGGCCCAGGTGTGTTGACTAATGCCGCCCCGCAGGCCTGGAGATGGAAAACAGAGAAACAGAAGCAGGGCAAACCAAACAGAGGGACCACCATGAAAGACGACAACAGAAGGCTGATTTTGTCATTTAGTTTGACAAACATGTTGCTATTTTCACACTGAGCACATATGAAGCAACATTAGCGTTCATTTGGGTCATGTGTCTGGCCGTGTGATGAAAGAGGAGGGAAATTATGCCGATTTGAATAATTCAGTCCAGTTGATGCAGTTTTTAACAGTGATCGCTTCACTGTTCAAAGCCAAAGTCGCACCCATATTCATCATCCCAACCGCGTGCAAAACACAGATCTGCAGGCGCTGGTTTGTGTCCACTGCCATCAGACTGTACAACAGCAGTGCAGTCTCAATCATTATGACCAGCTGACCAAAATCAGAAACACATGAAACATACACACCCAACTCTGACAGTGTCTAGCACACTCTCACTCTCTATTGTTACTATAGGACTTGACTTGCAAATACTGCACACAAAATACATGAAGTGTTTTTATATTTCATTATATATTACACTATATCATCACTATTAGTAGTAGTTTCATGTTAATATATGCTATGCTCATACTATACGTAATTGTTTCCAGCAGCAGACCACTGTTCAACACCAACAAAAGCAGGTATTTTTATAATGAGAGTTTGGGACATTTCCAGCTGTGTTTTGGGGGCAGCAGTTGCTCAGTCCATGGGACTTGGCATGGGAATTAGAGGGTCGCCAACTCAAGTCCCTGCACGGACCAATGGAGCATGGACTGGTTGCTGGAGAGGTGCCAGTTCGCCCACTGGGCGCTGCCGAGGAGCAAGGCTCTGGACCCACAACAACTCGGGGCACCTGTCTATGGGCAGCGCCCTCACTCTGACATCCCTCCATGTACTACATGTATAGGTGCTGTTTGTGCATGTGTGTGTATTTCGGATCTGTGTGTATATGACAACAGAATGAAAAAAATGAATTTCCCCACTAAAGTATATTTCCTTCTTCTCTTTCTATGTGTTTGTAGTGACAAAATCAGGTATTTTTTTAACAAGAGTTTGGTACATTTCCAGCCATGTTCATTACAACAAAAACTGGTATTTTTTAGCCAGGGTACTGGACATTTCTCCCCATGTTTGCAGTGACTAAAACACGGATTTTTTAAGTCAGAGTTCAGGACGTTTATAGCCATGTTTGTAGTTACAGAAGCGGGTATTTTCAACGAGAATTTTGTACATATCAAGTCATGTTTGCAGCAACAAAAACAGGTATTTTTTAGCCAGGGTTTGGGACATTTATAGCTGTGTTTATAGTGACAGAAGTGGGTATATTCAACGAGAATTTTGTACATATCAAGTCATGTTCGTAGCAACAAAAACAGGTGTTTTTAGCCAGGGTTTGGGACATTTATAGCTGTGTTTGCAGTGACAAAAATGGGTATTCTTTAGCCAGAGTTCTGGACATTTCCAGCCGTGTTTGTGGTTACAAAACCTGGTATATTTTGACGAGAGTTTGAGACATTTCCAGTAATGTTTGTAGCAACAAAAGTGGGTATTTTTTAGTCAGGGTTTGGGACATTTATAGCTGTGTTTGCAGTGACAAAAATGAGTATTCTTGAGCCAGAGTTCAGGACATTTCCAGACGTGTTTGTGGTTACAAAACCTGGTATATTTTGACAAGAGTTCCCGACATTTATAGCTATGTTTGTAATCACAACAATGGATATTTTTCAACAAGAGTTTGGGACATTTACAGCTGTGTTTGTAGCAACAATAGCGGTATTTTTTAGCCAGGGATTAGGACATTTACAGCTATGTTTGTAGTGCATACAGCAGGTATTTTTAACGAGAGGTTGGTACATTTCCAGTCATGCTCGTAGCAACAAAAGTGGGTATTCTTTAGCCAGAGTTTGGGACATTTCTATCTGTGTTTGTAGTGACAGAAGTGGGTATTTTTAATGAGAGTTTAGTACATTTCCAGTCATGTTCACAACAACAAAAGCAGGTATTTTTTAGCCAGGGTTCAGGACATTTCCAGCTGTGTTTGTGGTCAAAAAGCCTGGTATATTTTGATGAGAGTTCCAGACATTTCCAGCTATGTTTGTAATGACAACAATGGATATTTTTCAACAAGAAACACTGACCAAGTTGATTTTGTGTCTAAACCTAACCACACATTGTTTTCACAACATAATGAAACATAAAGTTTCAACATATCAGCTACATATGAAATGTACAAATATAACATATCCATGCAGAAATATATAATGCCAACATCTATTCTGGCAACTGGGTTGCAGGAGTTGCTATATAATATACTATTCTGCAATTCAGTTGAATCATATTACTTTACACAAATTATAATCACACCACTGTCACTTTGCTTGAGACAACATTGCACCATTTTTCTTTTGTACACTTCTCATTATTATTTATTTCCTTTTTCAAATCTGTACTTATTTTTGTCCTTGTGCTGCTGCAACACCCAAATTTCCCCTCCAGCAACCAGCAAAGGCTTGTATTTTCTTATTTTATTGTTCATAAAGGCTCGTCTTATCTAACATCAGTGAGCCATCTCTGTTCATAAAGCAGTTTATGCTACTTCGTTGTCTTCAGTTTGGTTGTAAATTCAGTCTGTGGCAGGTTCTGGTTACCTTCCGTTTGTTACACAAGTTCATTTTTGTGGCTTTCAAGGTCTTTTAACAAGCGTTTAAACAGGAAGTAACATTTTGTATATCACAGCTCAGTTGATAGGGCTGCTTTCAAGTCACCAGTGAGGGGAACTCCACCGCTACGACTCAGTCAGGGACAGCGGTGATTCAAATAGTTAGAAGATTTGTTTGAGCTGAACAGCTTTATCTGATGAATACACTGAATGTGCAGTATTTACTTTCTTTTTCAACTTATGAGAAAAATACCTGGTTCTGAGAAGAGCAATGAGACTGATCCACACAGTAACTGCCCCATAGAGTAAAACAATGAGCTAAAAGAGGCTAAACTGCTCCAAGGGAAGAAAATGTTGGCATTGTATGTTTCTGCAAACCATGAATATGTTACATTATGTGACTTAAGTGGTACGATATGTCAGTTGACTTTGTCAGCAAGAGTCGGAGGGGATGGTGGGTGGCGAGACACCTGCCAAGCTGCAGACCTCTGATCGAGACCAATAACACCAGCTGCATTTTGGCAAGTCATTGCTGTGTTTCCATCGGCTTTTTAGACTCCAAGCGTGGGTGTTTTGTTGCGACTCATCTGCATTTTTCTGGCTGCATTTTAGGCTCCAGTCATGGGTGTTTTGTAGCAACCTGTCGGCAGGGATAGTGCCACAAAAAGCAATTGTTTTTGCTGGCACATAGTTCCTTTCCTGCCAGGACATTAGCATAAAAAGCAGTTGTTTCTTACTGAAATGTCAGTGCTTCTGCTGCTGGGATTGTGGCATGAGAAGTGGTTGTATTTTACATTGATACAGCTGCATTTCCTGTCGGGATTACGCCCCCAAACTCTGTAGTTTAAGCCAAAACATTTTCCTAACCATCCCAAGTGGCTTTGTGCCTAAACTTAGCCACAGCATTGTTGGAACATAATGTATCCGTTGCATAATGACGTGCAAATGTAACAGATGTGTGGTTTGCACAAATTGTACAATGCCAGCATTTTTTCTGGTGATTCGGTTGCATATCCAGACATCAGATAACTTCCTGTATCATCATTTCTTTGAGCAATCCTTTTCACATAACATGGATTCATCCTTTTGATTCATTGTTAATGCACAGTCATAGACCAAAGGGACAGTCTTGACTGTACACACAGCAGGGCTCCTGTTGCACAACCAGTGGGAATGACCTCACTTCGAAGTGCCTCTGCTGCAGTTTCTCCCTTTCTTATATGTTGTTTTTCCTCTTCTGCCAGAGAGCTTGGGCTGTGCGAGGACCCGTTAAGACACTGCATGTGATACCAATTGAATCTCTGCAAAGAAACTCGACGTGCTTAGATTGCACTGTCTTCTGCACACTTGTTTTCAATTATAGTCATGTCTGGCATGCAAGGATCAGGTCTTCACTCTAGTCAAACAAAGAGACCAGGTTCTTACTTGTTTATGCTGAGTCCAACTGTTTTAAAGCACAGGTCGATTGTTTTGAGGGCACGAGGCTTAACATGTCCCTAAATTTGTGTTTTGTATCCTTTATATGAGGATAATAGAGCACTTATGCAATAATGTGAGGCTCGACCTTTAGTTCCTGAATTACCTCTGAAATGGTTTCAGTATTTTTCCACTGCATTTGACACTTTTGAGTCAGCCTGGTTTCCCACAGCTGACAGCCTATGACTTATGTTCCTCGGTGCAGGCTGAAGTATACGTCTCGTTATTACTCATTGCAACACTTTAGACTTTTTAAACATTTTTATTCAAGGAAAGAAACTCAAAACACACATTAAAAGAAAAAAAACAGTGCAAATCATTGTTCAGTAGTGCCGGTGCATTTTTTATCAGGTTTGTAGTTGCTAGCTGCTTCAGTGTTTGACAGCAGTTGAGGCAAAATGGAACAAACACAAGCAAATGCCATGGGATTATGTATCTGTATCAACAAACTGTCCAGTGTGCAACATGTCCAGCAAGTTAGACATTACAATGATGTCCAAGCTCAGCTATGGAACCAGGACTACTGTTGTTCCCAGTGATTATAGAGTCTCACTGACTGTTGATCCATCGCTACAGTAGCCAGCATGTCCATCCATCAAGCTGCCATTTTGTAAATCGTGACCGAGATGTTTCCCTCATGAGCCGGTGTTTCTAGTCACAGCTGATCCTCTCCGATGGCTGATCGAGGAGGGCTGCATCTCGGTCTGTGTCTGCTGGTGCAGGTCCCACATGTAGCGATGGTCTTGTTCGTACATCAGCCCACCAAAGGAGTCCACAATTCCATAAATGACTGCGAGGACGCTCAGCGCCGTTCCGATAAAGTACAGCTTAAGGACTGCTGTCACCATGGCTGCTGCAGTACAGGACGATAAGCTGCAAAAGACAAAGATCAGTTTTAAAGATTAGGTTATTTGTTCTGTAGATTTATGGTGATTTTTGGTTATGTTTGCAAGTTTTAAAGGTCCAGTGTGTAGGATTTAGGAGGATGTATTGACAGAAACTGAATAAAATATAATGAGCATGTTTTCTTTAGTGTTTACAAGTGAGACTTGTCGTGTTTTCAATCCCTTAGATTGAGCTGTTTATATCTACATAGGGAGCAGGTCCTTTTCTATAGACCATGTTGCACCGCCATGTTTCTACAGTAGCCCAGAACGGACAAGGCAAGCAATGGCTCTGGAAAGGGCCAGTCGCCTTTTCACATCGGCCACCACAGTTAGCAATCCCTCTACAACAAGAAGTGTGTGAAAAATACTGATTTTTTTTAACATGAAACTGCTTAATTCAGCGTCTTTACCGGTTTAAATCACCGGGTCTATTTGATTTAGAGAGGAGAAGACGTCTGCGGATAGTTCAGCTTCCAGTAAAGGCCTCCTGAACATTTTTATTTTATGTTATCAGAGAGAAAGGGTGACTACAAATCAGCAGGTCTGGGCTTGCAGTCATCTGCAATGAGCCAAACAGAACACCAAAAACACTGATTTTTGATGTGTATAAAAACAGACTTGATGGAAGACATAGGAACATTTAGGAGACTGGAAATTGGTGACGCAGATGGTGAGGTGGAAGACTGATTGTACAAATTGTCAAATATTTTTTGGCACATACAAAGGGGAAGATACCCCTACAGATAATTCAGCTGCCACTAAAAACCTCCTGAACAATGAACAAGTGCACAATGCATTTCTGTTCAGGATCTGGCACAGAAGGTTAGGTAGAAACCTGTAGCTCTGGAGCCACATGAGGCTCTTTAGCCTTTTATTTTAATTAATAACAATTTTTTTTAACAGTTTAATTTTCATTTATCATTGTTGTAAGCCAAAAGTGGTTCTTACATTTTCCAGTTGTACTGTTTTAACATTCTGTCAACTGAAATGTGCGTCATACCTCGACAGCCTGGCACCTTCTTCCTGAATTTGGTGAACCTCAATAGTGGTAGCTAGTTTTGGTTCTCCCTAGCAAGACTGAATACAGGCTCTAACTCCAAAAAGGAAAAACTATGAGAGGAAAATCAAGAATTTAACAGTGCTTGGACAGATTTGTTTGCTTTCACCGCCAAAGCTGCAGCATTAAAAGCACCAAATAATCCTAAATATCCCACTGGAGAGGAACAAATTTGTGGTAAAACATATTAATGAATGCTCATTTAGAAGTATTAGTAATGATTATAGGCTAACTTAGACTGTATAGACTGTGTTACCTTTATTTTAAGGAACAAACAGACAGATTAAAAAAAAAATAAAAAGCAAAAATGCCTCTTGTGGCTTGAAGAGAAAGCTTATCGACAAGGAAGTTACCAAAAAGGTAGACACAAGCTATTGGTGCAATCACATGTTGTTGCAGGCTAACTATCAAATTTAAGATCATTAGCAACCCAAAACAAACCTCATTTGATTTTGTTTTATTGCTACTTTGACACTGGAGCTGCTTGGTTTGTGGAAAGTAGAAACTATACTTCTCTTTTTAATTTCTATCTTTATTTAGCTTTAACATCTGCAGCAAGACTCTATTTCTCCTTTTCCTCCTCTGAGATAAAAGCCTCGAAACACCGCAGCTGTTAAAGCAATTACTGTTTCATGTTTCTGCTCGCTAGTCCACAAATGCAGGCGAACATGAAGGCAGCATCCTAACAGAGAACACGGCTTTGGAGACATGAACGCACCACCACGCTGAGAATAAACGCTTGAATCTCGTCTTTTTCCGCAGTAGTTCAGTAAAACAGAGACATGTGTTTGGTTTAGTAACTCACCACAGGCTCGGCTGATCTGCAGAGTTTCCTTACTTCTCTGTTTCTCGTTGCTTAGTCGGCTGAAGTCGTTTCTAGCAACAAACAGGTAAGCCTCGGAGGAATCCGCCGATATGTGTCGGTCAGTAATAAGTTACTTCTTTCTCAGTCTAGAAACTCTTCACTCCTGTGAATGCGAGCAGCTGCGGTCTGTCTGCCTCCTCTCCGCTGCTGTATGAGCTGTATATGAAGCAGCTCGGCAGACTATAACGCGTGGCTGTGACATCACGCTTCAAACAGCAGCAGCCGTTTCCTGAATGTGTTCACGGAGAATGACCTGAGGAGACTTGAGGACTTTTCTGCGGCTTTGTTGTGCTCACTTCATACTTAAAAGAGCTCATGATGTTTCACAGTTTAATCTTCTTAATCTAGTTTTTATTTTTTTAATTTACCTATACTGTCAAATGAGAACAACTAGGAGAAAGTAGGGACAGCACACATTCAGCTTTGCCTTTTTTCATTCATTTATGCTCAATTATATGTTTTCAACCCAATAATTCACCAAAAATATTAAATATGTGTCAGTTAATTTGATTTAAAGGTGTGTATTTTAGATGTATAGGGTTTAACCTATGAAATACCCAAAAATTATTGAAGAATGTAAAGGCAGTCCATCGCTACAGTCAGCATGCTAACATGCTAACAACGATGCTAACATGTTGATGTTTAGCGAGTAGTTTGCTGCCTTAGGGCCGTGTCATAGTCAAAGTACGCAATGCTGGCAAGCGACACACTTCCTTTCATAGTCAACACATTGAACGCAAGCGACTCAGGTGACACTTGAAATGCAATACATCGCTTGCGCAATAGGGGGTAGCAGAATCACCAGTATATTCCGGCTAGCTAGTACTGCTGTAGCTAGCTAGTACTGCTATTTTATTAGAGTGCAGGGCACTAGAACTGTCATATAAATGAGGGTGTGCCCGTGCGAGTTCACAAAGTATTTCCTCCTCACCCGCCATATTTCATACCTGCTTCTTCTGTGAATAACAAAAAGTGGATAATTTCAAGTACGTTGCTTGCATTATCACCCCCGCTGGCTACGCATGGTATTACACGCGTCGCTGCATCGGGTATCCAAAAAATGGACAACACATTTTGAGACGCAAGCACACATCATGGCGGCCACCTTACTTGATGTGTCCCAATGTGTTCGCGTCTGCGTGCCTTTGCATCGACTATGAAACGGCCCTTAGTTTAGCGTGTTACTTAGCTTACTTCTATGTTACTCTATTAAGCACTGGTTTACTTTATATCTTGTATATTTTGACAGTTTTGACTGATATTTAATACTGTATTTGTTACACTGTACTGTATCAAACTGGGTCCAATGTGTGACCCGCTGGTTGTAACTGTTTTATTTTAGTGAATCTTAATTGTCTACAGGAGTCACTACAGCCCCGGATAAGCAGAGACTGAAAGTAAAGTCATCTCCGACCTCGTCACATATTGACGTTTGGTAATGGACCTTCCACGTCCACATACAACGTACAAGGTACCCTGGGTGTGTTGGTTGCTGACGTTCTGGGACACTGTGTCAAGTTCTGCCTGTTACATTGTGTTCTTTCAAAATACACTTCCGCTTTCACAGGAAAACACCGCAAATCGACGATTTTTTTCTTTTAACAACTAACGTACTTGGTTGGGTTTAGTAAAAAGCACAGGGTTTGGCTTTATAATCTTACGGGACACAAACACCGCTCTCCCGGGTGAAAGTCAGTGTTTGTTGGATCCATCCACCACCCCTCTCGCCCACGCCACTTGGACTTTCACCGCCTTAATTTTCATCCTTGTCCCGCCGTGTTTCCCCCCTGACACCACCGAGTGCTGCTAAACTATAACAGCAACAGGCCGCGTATCAGGCAGACATGAAAGGACAACTTTTTTCGTTGGTTTTTGACGCCACAAGTCACTGCCCAAGTGCCGGATTTCGACGACTTTGGTGTGAGACTGGGCTCACTTAATGGTCACAGTATAACACCAAGTCAGTTAAACTTCAGAGATATCAATCTGGCCATTTAGGAAGCACAAGTTATTGTGAATCAGTATCTGCAGCCTGATCAGGTTGTACAGGTAGTCCTCCACATCCATACATGCAGTCGCAAGAAGGTTTGCTGTTAAGTTACAAAGTGCTTTACATGTCAATAATTAAAACAGACAAGACATGAAAACAACATCTTCATCAAAAGAACTGATAAAAACACTTCAGTGTATAAAAACTGAGGAAATGAACATAAAAAGTAAAATCAGGAAAGACTCTCTGAATTTACTGGAATAAAAAAGCTATCTGTGCTTTTGCTGCACTGATTTTTTTGGTCGGTTTATTCATCTTGAAGTGAACAGCAATGTCTGAACCATGTTACATGAACATCTGTCCAACAGTTGTTGAGACATTTCCCCTGAAACTACAAATGTAAACACTTAAGGGGAAGTCGGAGGATCACCAGTGTCACTAAGATTCATACTCTGGGGATGATGAATGTTTAATCCATCCTATAGTAGAGGTGTTAGTCTGAATCAAAGTGGTGGAGGGACTTTTTTTATGGACTCAGGGCATGTAAGCCTTTCTCAGAACATACCCTAATAGAAAATATTTATATAAATGTTCCACTAAAGAGGATTAAGAGCCAGATTAAGTCTTATGAAAAACATGTTTTCACTCGCTTATTTTTGGTCTGGTCATAAGACAGTGAAGTCGTTGTTTAAAAGGTGAGAATGACATTTAAAAACAAAAGAAAGCTCATTGTTGAGCAACATATTTGACATCTGTTCTCAGTGACTCACCGCCAAAGAGTAATTAATTCATATTACACTTTCGCCCCACACATACTCACCTGGATGGACTTGTTCGGACCTGCTCCTACAGGACCCACACTGTGTAAACTTTTTAGAAAGCATGCCATCTTTTATCAAGAAAATAAGTAACTAAACAGCTTTTCTACTTTATTTGCATGCCAGAGTGGAGATTCCAGATTTTTATCTCAGGAAAATTCCCCGTTCGGAAGCACGAGCCGATCAAAGCTGTTCTATGTTTTACTCTTAGAGTCATGATTTCACTTCCCCTGAAGCTTGGCACAGTTTCGGAGGAAACTCCAGTACAGTTCACTGACAGGATAATAGGACAGATGTAGGGCTGACCCTTAAATCAACACCAAATACTTGATATGAGAGTATATGACTAAGTGGTTCTACCCTTCTCCAGACCTTCTAAAACCCTAGCGTGACCTAAACTCGCAGGGCAACATTATTATAACATATGAGTCAGAGAATATGAGCAAGCTGTGACATTTTACTCACACAAACCTTCACACTTGTAAATTACTTCCAAATAATTCCTCTATGCATTGCTTGATTCTTTCATCAATTATGGTTCGCTTCCAGAGAATCAAGTCATATGATTTCCTGAGGTTAAAAAAAGCATGAAGTTGCGTAAACAGCTTTTAGAGTCTAGGACTGTGCTGCTGTTCTCACTGCCAGAAATTGACAGGCAGCCAACAGCTCAGATTACTCATCCACACAAGCATTAAATCCTTTTGTTTTTCATTTCACAGCCTTGACCTTTCGAGAACTCTCAAGGAGAAACAATGGTATGTCTCATTAGAGTTAAACACAGGCTGCTACTTCCACTATATATACACACTTAAAGACTGGCAGAGCCGGCCAAACAGGTAAACAAAGGGACAGAGAGAAAGCACAAGACTATGAATCAGAGGAAACTCATCACACATCTGTCCAACTTTAATGAGGTGATCATTACCAGTGAAAACATGAGCACATTATGGTGATTTATGTGAGAGACTATAGTTGTCACTTTTAGTGTTTAACTTGCTGCTGAAGGACAAGAAACATATCCTGGTTTCCTTTCTGGAATAAAAAGAAGAAATTGTAACCTGGCTCAGACACAAGCACATGGTACAGTACATGTGTACATACTGATAAGAAAACTACACCTAAAGAAATCCCTTACTCAGGAAGTTGTGTTGGTATTTGGTGCAATAAACCATTGCATCCACTAGATGTCACTGTGTGGCAGTTAGGGACTCAGAATACAGACTAGACTTGGAGAGTATTGTCTTGAATTACTGCATTTCAGTAGCATAAAATGTTTATATTGTACAGTATTTAGTCATCTAATATAATACTGTATCATGATAGACCTTTTCCTAGCAGACTTGTCATAGGAAACAATGTCCCAGTAAACCATGACACTGGCTACATTTCCATGCACAAAATAGTCTACGATCTTGCATTAAAGTTGCTGCTGCTGGTTTGTGCCGAGACGTCTGTGTTACTGATGAGAAGACGCTTTTTTACATAATTTGTGTCGTTCACTAGCGAGTTGACTCATGAGCAACTCTTTTGAATCCTTTGGTTAACCCATAACACACGACTGGGGTATTTAGTGACATATCTTACAGTGTAGAACAAATCATGAATGTCTCTTCAGCTTGTGTTGACCACAGACCTTATTTCAGGCATCTAAGCCATTCAAAAAACACACTCACTTGGAGTGCTAAAATGCTTACCCATTTCCAGGTTTTAGGACTCATTCCTCGAGTACTCTGTGGGTTTGCGGAGCTGTGGCTCTGGAAGTGTAAGTTGACCTGGCTCTTATGCAGAACTGTGCATGCACCATACAGAGGTGGAATTTTGGATTCACTCCTACTTGCAAATCGAGTTAACTAGTTCCTCTTTAAGGGTCGTTCAAAACAAATGATTCGCTTACATATCTAATGTCACTAGTCTGTGTAAAAGCTTGACGTAAAACTGCAATGAGCTGTCTTATAGATGAGCTTTGTGACAAAAGTTTTAAGACATTTTTTATTTTAATTTATGCATATTTAGTTTCGGTATACTGTGTATAATCAAATTACCACACATACTGGAGTACTGGTTGGTCTCTGGGAATATAAAGAAGCTGCCATGTGTGCTTTGTACCTAATGGTGAAAGTGCATGTGACAGGGTACATTCACAGGGACGGGAGGTGGCAGTGGACCAAGTGCAAATTTTTGCCCCGGGGGTTTTTTGTTTGTAACTCAGGCTCCTTTTACTTTCTCTGACTTTAGAAAGCTCTCACCACAACCACAGAATACACTGTCCAACTGTTTTTACAGGCTGTGTGGTGTTTTCCATGGTCGGTAAATTGATCTTGATGTGGAAAATAAGTGGAGTTTACCACTTCTGTATACTCTGTACATACAGTACAGCATGTTCTTTTGCTCTTCCTAAGATGACACTTATCTTTGATGA